AACAGCACGCACTGAAGGGTTACAAACCATGAACTGCCAAGGATGGGGCTGTGCCAGAGAGAATCCCCGAACACACCAACCTTGCCCTTGACTCTGGCTGGGGGCAGAGCTGGAGACAGGACCCCACAGGAAACAGAAATCTTGTGGCTGAGGAGTGTTCCCAAAGGGGCTGTGGGTATGAAAATGGTGGTAGGTCAGTGGATGACCACCTCCCCCCCACCCCCGCACACCCCCATCCTCTTCTGGGGTCACCTTCTACAGCACCCACCTGACTGGGTTGGTTGCTCCCCAAAACATTCCCAGTCCTCCTTCCTAACAAAGCCCCATTCTCTTCCAAGGGCAACGTGCCCAGCCTTGGGGGAGGAATCAAGAACGGTCCAAGCCTCCTGTGGCAACCCCATTACCCTTGCCAGTGACAGGATGATGGCAATCATGGGCACTGGCTCTGGTCGGTGGCCATACGGGGAGTCTTTTGAGAGGTGCTGGGAACCTCCCCGCTTCCCCAGCTCAAACAAAAGAGAAAGCCTATTGACAAGAGGACTTTTTTTCCTGCCCCTCTCCCTTCTACCTCGGTTACTCTTATGAGAAGATGTGAGCTCGGAGCTGCAGCAGCCATCTTGGAACCATGAGAAAAAGCCAAGGGAATGGCAGACACGGATTGGGCCCCCACTGGTGGCAGAATCACTGAACTCACTCAGAACCGTCGACGAACTTCCAGGCTCCAGCGGTCATGCAAGATGATGCAACGACTATATTGTGGGAGGCACCACGCTCAGCCACTCCGCCACTCACCATCAAAAGTGCACTTAGTGACCAACAACTTCCTCTATATTATTGTATTTGCTTGTCCCCGCATAGGTAGTTCTGAGCTGCCAATGATAGGAAAGAGGACGCTGTGGCTCAGGAAGTTGAAGAGGTCAGGTGACCCACCTCGTAAATGGTAGGACCTGAGCCCTCTACCAGCTGGGATAAATTCATTCAGTTTTCGGACTATCCAAGCTCCGGAGCCATGCCTCAAACCTTCGAAACCAGTATGTAAAGATCCGATCCAAACATTTCCAAAATACATTTGTGAAAGAAATGCCCTGACTGTTGGCATTGGCTCGTTCTAAACATGCTATTTTTTTTTTTTTTTTTTAGAGAGAGATCACAAGTAGGCAGAGAGGCAGGCAGAGAGAGAGAGAGGAGAAAGCAGGCTCCCTGCCAAGCAGAGAGCCCGATGCAGGACTCAATCCCAGGACCCTGAGATCATGACCTGAGCGGAAGGCAGAGGCTTAACCCACTGAGCCACCTAGGCACACTAAACATGCTATTTTTTAAGATTCATTTATTTGAGAGCGAAAAGAGATGAGTGGGGATGGGGGCGCGCAGTGGGAGAGGGACGAGCAGACTCCATGCTCAGCGTGGAACCCAATGTGGGGCCCAATCTCACGACCCCGAGATCATGAACTGAGCCGAAACCACAAGGCAGATGCTCAGTGGACTGAACCATCCAGACACCGCTATGTTTTAGTACTCTGGCTTCTCTTCAGATAGCATAAATCTTTCACCTTTTCCTAAACATGTTGCTACTTTATAAACTCTCCCAAATGGCTCCCCCACCCAAAAAAAAACCCACACACACAACAAGGAGAAGGAAAGAGTAAAGGGAGAAAGTGAGCATGCCAGGAAGTCACCGGAAAAGAACTTTTTGGTCTGGGAGCCAGGAAATGTCAAGGAAACAAATGTGGCTACGACTGACCCTCCCGTCTCCTGCTGTGCCAGTGGGATTCAAAAACTGGTTCTTTATTAACGCGTTCACCATAGAGTGGTCTTGACAAGTGGCAGGCCGCCGCAGAGGCTGAAAAAGCTGCATGTGATTCTGGGTTTTACGGTAATTTAACCAATACATATAGTAGTCGATGGTAGGGGCGGAAATTCTTGTTTTCAAACTGATTGGTCTGGACAATGGAAGACCAAGAGCCAACAATAAATCCATTGTAAGCTGGAAATGCTCTCCTCTGAATACGGCTAAATATTTCTTTAATCCTTGCATTAAATTTGTTACTGGAATATGAAAGCTATTTTATTTACTCTAAAATTTAAGCTGGTGTAATAGTGTAATTATAGGTGTAACGAGTGGGGGGGTGATTACTCAGGAACCTATTTAAGGCACTTTAAAAACATAATATTAGATGCCTGCTGTGCATTCATACTTTGGGGTCATAAGGAAGATATTATCATTAATGATTTTTTTTATATTCTGCAAACCGTTTCTTTCATTTTTGGATCATGAGAAGGGTCTTTAATAGTCCCTAGTCAGCATGAATATTCCTTTTTTGTAGCTTGTCTATCTACATTATCGGGCACATCAGCGAGTCCCCCCAATAAAGTTATGTCATAGTTCTGTTCCCAAGGGAACAAAGACATCGGGTCCCCTATTAACAGTGGCTTTTGTTGGCTTATTTTTGTAATTTTTTTTCCCTGACATTAAAGTTGTGTGTGGTTGGCAAGGATTTCTCTTCCTCAATTTGGATGTGGTTTCTGCCTCTGAAACTCTGAAAACAAGCTTGTTGATAAAGGACAAGCTGCAGGCATAACTACAAGAGACTCCAAAGAGGCTTCGCTGGAAACAAATCGGAACTGAAAGCCATGTTCAAGTTCAAATGTTCTTCCCTTCAGAGATTTTCAGCTCAGTATTAATTTGTCCTTCCTGTATAAGGGTTCAAGAAAAGTGCCTCTACATCTATTTAAAGCCAATTACCGGGGCACCTGGGTGGCTCAGTCGGTTAAGCGCTATCTTTGGCTCAGGTCATGATCTCAGGGTCCTGGGTTCGAGTCCCGCGCCTCCTACACACACCCCCTCCCCCTGGCCTCATCTGTGCCAGGGGCTTACATGTCCCATCCAGTGACACTGGTGAGTAGAACAGCTTGTTGCAGGAACAGACTGGTGCCCTGGGAGAGAGATGCCTTCTCACGGGGGTCCCCAAATAGCCAGAAGCTCAACTCCAAGTGCACTGAACCGCGGCATCTCTGAATCTCCATCCTCCAACCTGTGCGTCAAGCGCATCCGCTCTTCAACTAACTAAACCCAACTAAGCCAAGTTTAGTTACCTAGGAATACAGCCTGCCCACGGAAAGTCCTGCGCTCACGCTAGCCTGCGGGATGCCCTGATGAATTTCAAGTGGAAATCCCTGGATGTGAAATTTGCCCTTTGCCTTTCTAACCGAGAGCAGAGAGACTGGGACAGAGACGGAGAGACATGAAGTCTCACCCAGGTGGTATCAGTGCCACCGGAGGGGGGCAAGAATGAAGCCCCCTGCAGTCTCTCCCCTCCGATCCTTAATCCTCAAGATCCAGGACTTGCGGAAGCCACCCTTTTCAGCAGTGGTTGCTTTGCCAGGACATCGGCCCCGTACCCACCACCATTAACCTGGACACAATTTGCAGGTTCCTTGTAAAAAGGTTTTACCGGGATTTCTGATGGACTCAGTCTGGGCTTGTGGTTTATTTTTATTAAGAGGGGTCTCCTCTTGGAAAGAACGGCTCTGGTTATTGCACTAACAGATAGAAATGTTCCTGGGCCTCCATAAATCAACTCAACACCCTGGTCTCTAGGGACTTGCCAAAAAGATAATGGCCTGCAATTATGGAAGCCTCAGCACCAGTCACCAGTGGGACTCCGGGGAGACTTCCGAAGTCTGGGGGCACTTTCAAGACGAAAAGAAGGTAATCGACCCAAGAACCAGCAATTCTGCCCCCAGAGCATGCTGCTGGAAGAGAGGTAACACTGGCTTCAACTAAAGGCATAAGAAACAAGCACCTGGGACTAGAAGGTGTGGTGCAATCTTCTCCCATTTCCCCCCAAATCCCAAATGCACTCAACCATGGATACATGGCGGGATACATGAGTAAAGATCACAGCTCGCATAGCTGAGGGGGATGGGCAGTAACAGGCCAGGCCTACCTTCCTCTTCTCTACCTTGAAACCCTAGGGCTTTCCCCCACTACAACTGAGGGTGCGCCCCTAGACAGTATACTGGGGATCTACTTTTCCCAGGAGGAAGGGGTGGCTCAGGCAAGGGAGGTGAGCACAACCAGGAGACCCCCTGGCCAGTCCACCCGCCTGTCTCGGTTCTCTGGGGAGGGGCACTGCCGCACAAGACGTGGAGTTTTTCACGAACATGATGGATGGATGAGGGTTTTGAGGTTCTAAGTGTGACATCTGCTTTGAAGACACACAGCAAGCGACCTTAGCACTCATGTCACAGCGTCCCCTATGACACTTCCAACAAGCGCAAGAAATTCAGATGTATCTGCATCGCTTGGAAGCCAGAGTCGTTTTTTTTTTTTCCTTCCCCTCATTCTACCAGGTTTCGTTGGCACTGGGTGCGCACTCAGCTCTAAGAGCTTCAGAACACAGCATCTCTAGGATGGAGGGGCTCGGAACACTTTCCGGGGGGGAGGTGGGCAGGGAAGGTGAGGCTGGCTAGAACTCTCTAAGGCCCCCGCAGAGGCTTCCCTCCGCCGTGGCCGCCGGCCTGCTGGGGAGCCCGCTCTTCTCCAGGTACACCAGCACGGGGAACAGTGGCTGCCAGGCTCCCGGTGACGAGTCACCCACCCGACACTTCCCACACGAGCCAGGCACATTAGTCCGGCACCGAGGGGCCAGGCGCTCAGCGCTGGCGGGAGGCGACCGGTCCGAACGCGCACCCCCGTGGAGACTCGACCCCAGGTCTGGCACAATCTCTAAGCCCGCAGGCATTCCTCCCTCTCCCTCCCCGCGGCTCGTTCCCGAAGCCGCCCGTCCAGCTCGCGTTTCCCGCGGCCGCTGCGCCCGGGACCGCGCGCGACCCTGCGGCTGGAGCGAAGACGCCAGGACCCCCTCGGGCACCGGCACCCGCAGCCTCCCGCGGCCGCGCAGGCCCCGGGTGGACGCGCGACCCCTCCTCAGGGAGACGGCCGCCCAGCCCGCGCCCAGCCGCTGTCCCCGGCCGCCCCCGCGCCCCGCGCCCCTCACCTCGCGCAGAAGGCGCTCCAGGTGCGGCTCGGCCCAGGCAGCCAGGGCGCTCGGCTGCCCCGCGCGCCGCAGCAGCTCCTGCTCCTCCTCGAGCGCCGCCACCCGGCCCTGCAGAGCGGCCGCCTGGGCTCCCAGCAGCAGGCAGGCGGCCGCCGAGCCCACGGAGAGCAGCAGGCACACGGCGCTCACCGCCCAGGCCCCGGCTGCCGTCGCGGGACGCCCCACGCCGAAGCCCGCCTGGCCGTCCTTCCGCGCGTCGCCGCAGGCGCGCTGGCCCGAGCTCATGGCGCGCGGCTCGCGCGTGGGTCTCCGAGGGGGCGGTGCGAGGGAGCGGCGGGCGCAGGCGGGAGAGCCCGAGGCACGAGGTTGGCCGGGCGCGGAGCTTGGCCTCGGGGAAGCAGCGGAGCACGGCGCACGCCCCCCTCTCCGCCGCCAGCTCCTCCACAGCGGCCACTTTGGGCAGTTTCCTCTATGCAAATAGACCCTGCCAGAAAAGGAGCCGGGACCCACCCAGGGGAGGAGCGGCCCGGTCGGCCCCGCGCGGCGAGGGGCGGGGGAGGGACGGGAGCCGGCTCCTCCGAGCCCCCACCCGCCGCGCGCGCCCGGCGGACCCCTGGCACGGCGCGGACCTCCACCTCACCTGTCCCGGGGCCGGGCTGCACCCCGCTGCCGCGCGCGCACCTCCGTGGCTCCCCAGGCCCGGGGGCCCCGCGATCCCGAGAGGACTGCCATGCGCCCGGACACTCGGCGCCTTCTGCAGCCCACCTCTGGCTGGAGCATCATGCGTGCCTGGGGGAAATGCCCCTAGACTTGTGAATTAACCTTTCTGACACTTTTTTTTTTTTTTTTTTTTTTAAGTTAAGAACTTCAAACCCCGTGGAAAACTTAGTGGGTCCGGCCTGGATGGTGCCTTGGCGCCGCTCGGTGGCCGAAAGCGATCTCTGCGCACTAGCGCCTGGAGACGCGGTCCGGGTTTCGATCTCACCAAGCAGAATCTCAGCGCTCTCACCCATTTATTAGGTGCCAGACATGGGGTGCTGGGAGCAGAAATTGTTAAGACCTCGCCGCTGACCTAGAGAGGGTTTTCGTTTGAAAAAATCGGGACTATCACGCATGGAAAAGATGGGGGGAAAAGAGCTCCAACTTTTGTTCAGGTGATGACTTCATTCCGTTGTGGAAGCACCGCTTGGCCCAAATAATCCAGTAGCAACACAGTGAGCTATCCCACGGTCCTGCTGCAGACTTAGGTAGCAAGGTCTGAATGAGAACGAAGAAGCCCCAGTCTTTCCAAGAAAGGGAAGAAAGGCTGGAAGTAAGGCGGGGTCTCTGCCTGGTCACACATTCCTATCAAGTGTACTCATATTCGAAAATGGGTCTCACTATTATGCTTCCAATATCGTTGGTAATACTCAAAGAAAATCACGCACTGCTGGCTTGGAACTTTGTGATTTGGGCAATTCCACAACCATTCATTCATTCATTCGTTCATTCAAGAAAAAGACCTGTTATATCTTCCCCTCGCTCTCTGGGTGTCTGCGGATTATTCATGTCAGTGGCTAGATTAGTCATCTCTGAAAACTGTTGAGGACCTCCAGCTGGTATGTCCCTCCTTACTCCCTTAATTCAGAGGGGAAAACCACCTCTGAGACTGGGATAAAACAGAAGTGATTGGCGTCTTACTACCTCTGCAACTTCGTAGCCGTGAACTTCCTTATAAATGGGGCTCATGTAGAACTTGGGGCTATGCTAAAATCCCGTGTGTACCCAATAAATAGGCTGAAAAGCACTCACTAAGCAAACTAGATTGTCTACTCGGAAAGAGGCCTACACCGGATTATAAGTCTACCCACACATAGGCTAGTTGCCCATTACCTGTATTAACATTACTGTCTTTCCTCATGTTTGTAGCAGCGTTATCTACAATAGCCAAATGACGGAGGCAGCCCAAGTGTCCCCCGATTGTTGAATGGATAAGGAAGAGGTAGTATATCTATACAATGGACTATTAATCAGCCACCAAAAAGAATGAAATCTTGCCATTTGCAATGATTTGGAGGGAGCTAAGGAGTATTATGCTGAGCGAAATAAGTCAGTCAGAGAAAGACAAAGACCATATGATTTCACTCACATGTGGAATTTAAGAAATAACACAAATGGGGTTCCTGGCTGGCTCAGTCAGTAGAGCATATAGCTCTTGATCTCAGGGTCATGAGTTCAAGCCCCATGTTGGGCATGGAACCTACTTTAAAAAAAAGTATGAAAAGGTGCATTGCTAATAAAGAACACTCTTAAAAAAACAAAACAAAACAAAAAACCCTCTTCTTTATGGGCGCCTGGGTGGCTCAGTGCGTTAAGCCCCTGCCTTCAGCTCAGGTAATGGTCTCGGGGGTCCTGGGATCGAGTCCCACATCGGGCTCTCTGCTCAGCAGGGAGCCTGCTTCCCTCTCTCTCTCTCTGCCTGCCTCTCTGCCTACTTGTGATCTCTCTCTGTCAAATAAATAAATAAATAAAATCTTAAAAAAAAAAAAAGAAATAACACAAATGATGACAGGGAAGAAAGAGAGAGAGAAACTGAGAAACAGACTCTTAACTATAGAGAGCAAACTGATGGTTGCCAGAGGGGAGGTGTGTGGGGGGACGGGGGAAACGGGATGGGGAGTAAAGGGGGAGGTTGTCGTGATGAACACGGGTGATGTAGGGAAGTGTTGAATCTCTATACAGTACACCTGAAACTAATATAAAAATGTATATTAATAACTGTAATTTAAATGAAAACCTAAAAAAAAAAAAAGCCAAGCTCATTGATCCACTAGGCTCTTGCCCTCGCCTACTACCTCACTATCTGGAATGCTCTGCTCTCAGATCTTTGAACAGCAAGTTCTTCTTCAGGTCGTTCTCAAATCTCCCTGGCCCCAAAGGACCTTTGCAGGACCCCCACCCTAAGGTAGCTGCACCCACAGCCCCCCTCCAAAGGATTACTGGAGGGATCAGGCCCCTTATTGCTGTTTAAAGTTACTTTTCCGTTAGCAAGACCTTTGTCTTGCTGACCACTGTTTTCTCAAAAAACAGAACAGGACCTGACACATGGCTGATGCTCGGTAAATATTTGTCAAATGAATTAAGGCAAGGCGAAAATAGGTTTGCTGCCTGTAGCTCATGTTAAAGGCCAGAAGAAAATACTCTATGTTGTTTTTGTTAGTTGGGGTCCTGGAAGGGACAGACGGCCTCCTTGGACCACAGACCGCCTGACTGTAAAGACCCTTCACAAAGTGGGGCAGTTGAGGGGAAGCCGACAGGGGAGGCTTGAAGAAGCCCCCTGGGGTAGCAACAGTGGGGAGCATTCCCATTCTTGCTGAAGGGATGAGGAGGAGGAGCTCTTGGGGGGACCCTGTGAATGCTTGGAGCTATAAAAAGGTCTGTAGGGGAGGAGCTGTGGACTTTGGTTAAGGGACACTGTGAGTTGGAAAGTGGGGGCTGGGGGGTGGATAGACAGTCTTTCTCTCCTCCTCCTCTGTGGTCTGCTGGGTCTCCTGCCGAACCCACAGGGCAGGGAGCCCAGGTGTTGGAGGGCAAGAGGGGAGCCTGCTAGATGGAAGCAGCTCTGTAAAGGGCGGGAAGAAAAAAAGAGAATCTTCACCACATTAACTTAACATGAATATAGCACTTAGCAAGCTCCATATGGCTATGGCTGTGTCCAAATGGCTAACCTGTCAGCACCAAGTGCCAACCCTCGGGGAGCCCAGCTGGTGGCAAAACTACTATTTTGGACTCCCTCCATCCTGGAAGGGCCAGTGGTTTGCTCCTCATGGGGATAGCCAGCTAGTCGGCTAGTCTTTCCTCTCTGTAGAGCTTCAAGCCATGACTGCTGTCCTGACGGACGTCCCGGTCCATCGGTATGGAATCCCATACAACATAGCATCAGAACAAGGGATCCACTTGACAGTGGGAGGGAGTCCATGACCATGGAATCCATGGGTCAGATTACATCCTGCACCAGCAGAAACAGCCAGGCTCACGCGACACTGGAACCACCTTCCAAAGGCACAGGAACCAACTCCTAGTATTCAGAGGCAAAATACAGGTGCAATAAAAGTGCCCCTTTATCTACTGGGGTTACATTCCAAGACCCCCAGGGGATGCTCGATGCTGCAGATTGAACTGAACCCTAGGTAAACTCTATTTTTCTCCCATACAGACATTTCTGTAATAAAGTTTAATTTATAAATTAGGGACCATAAGAGATTAACAATAAAAATAGAACAATTATAACCATATCCTGCAATAAAAGTTGTATGAAGGTGGTCACTCTCAAAATATCTTATTACACGTGCTCACTTTTTTTTTTCTTTTTGGGTGATGGTGTGAGATGATAAAATGCTTTTGTGCTGAGAGAACGACGTCGGCGTGGTGACGGAACATTACTTTTGACCTTCCGATGATACGTGAGGAGGATTTTCTTCTTCCAGATGGTAGTTGACTGTGGATCACTGAAACCCCAGAGCAGGAAACTGCAGATAAGGGAGGACTCCTGTACTAGAAGTCTGCAGAGCGGCCTTTCTGGTCGTGTTCCCAATAAAATATGGCGGTAGGAACCAAGGAGCAGAAATGAGAGGAGTCCCACGCCCCCCCATGACTCCCTGGGTGGGGGGGTTTGTACTGGCTGTCCTCACCACTGTGGGTCCTGCAGGGTTGCAGATGCTAGTTCTCAAAAGGGTTCCACTCTTGCCAGGGGATACAGCAGGGGTCCGTTCAACCACAAGCTACATGCCACCCAGGGCACACTGAACTCTGTGGCTGGGAACCTGAAGTCCCTGAGTCATCATTTTGGTGGCGGTGACTGGCCCTGATCAGCAGGAGGAGGTAGGGCTGCTTTTAAACAGTGGGGGCAGGGAGGAAGAGGCCAGATACCTGGTGATGCCTCTTTGCCCCCATCTAACTGTGAACAGCAGTGGGCAGCCACACAGCCTCATGATTGACAAGGGTACAGACTTTCCAGAACAAAAAGAGCATTATAAAATATTTTATTTTAAAAAAAGAGATTGTTTGGGGGCAGATAGGGTTACTAACCACTGCAGAAGATCATAAGTAATGTTGATTATGAAAAAGTTCCAGGGGCACCTGGGTGGGTCAGTGGATTAAGCCTCTGCCTTTGGCTTGGGTCGTGATCTCGGGGTCCTGGAATCAAGCCCCGCATCAGGTTCTCTGCTCAGCAAGGAACCTGCTTCCCCTCCTTCACTCTCTGCCTGCCTCTCTGCCTACTTGTGATCTCTGTCAAATAAATAAAAATCTTTAAAAATTAAAAAAAAAGCAAGAGTACTTACTCATTTTTGTTTAATTACTGCTAAATATGGTTTAAATTATGCTATAAGGCTTAATGGGCTAAGCTAGAGTCCCCAGGGGAGAGGACCGAAAAAATTTTTTGAATAACCAAAGGCTGAAAAACAATTCCAAATATGATAAAAACTATAAACTCAGAGATCCAAGAATTTTAAGGAACCCAAGCATAAAGAACATAAAGACAACCACACCACCAAGCATGTCATAATCAAATTGCTTAAAAATAATGGTAAAGAACCAACATTACAAGCAACTAAAGAAAAAGAGAAAAAGACCGGTAGACTTTCCACTGGAAACAATGCAACCCAAAGTAGAGAGAAACAGTATCTTTTGTCAGGCCAGAATTCTATACCCAGTGCAAAAACCAAAGTCTGAACAACTACTTTGATACAAAAGCTAAAAGGATGTATTAACAGTTAGCCCACAATAAAAATAAATGTTAA